CGAAAAATCAAAAAAAAAAAATAATTCCAGCTTTAGAGTTGGTGACTGAACCATGTGTATAAAATAGAAAGAGTGTCTGGCAGGCTGACCAGAAAGGATAAGTTTTACAGACAGGAAGCCTGGAAAAGCAGAAACTAAGAACAAAACTGACATTTGTGATTTCCAAGGTGGAGACAGGGTGACAGAGCTAGAGAGAAACAACTGAGTAGTTAACAGGTTACTCCAGGGCTCGTATACATCCAAGCATGGTGTGAACTCATTGCACTCATTAAAACCGGCTCGTTTGGGAAATGGCTCCTCCCCCACCAGCCCTTTCATGATTTGCTGGAAGGCCAGACATCACTTTAGCTGGAGCTTGGTGAAACAGACATTTAGAACAAATGATTTCATTTGGTCTGGTTTGTCAGCGTCCCTTGTGACAGCTTAGTTCAAAACAATGGGGCTCCTCTAAGTCTTATTTAACCATAGTCACCAGATTTTCATTCCTGGTCTACTTTTCTCCTTTACTGCTATTAATTTTACCCACGCTTGCCCTTTTCCATGAACATTTCTCTGACCTGTAGAAACCGTGAAGTTCCATCTGCCTTTATCATCCACTCTTCCTCTAGGCTCTTTGCATTCATTGGAATGTAATGATGCCCTGAAAATATAACTTCCCTTTGATCCTTTTCTCATCCTCTACCTTGGGTCCCTTAAGCCCATGCCTGATGCTGGGTATGTGGAGGAGAAATATGCAAGGCTATTCAACAGGAAGGGTGCCAAACACACCTAGACTTGAGTACAAGACTCAGATATGCTAACTTAAAAAGGCAATCCGTGGTTAATAATGGGAACACCTTAAAATATAATATCCAAAATACGTTGAAACACAAGCTTATTTAAAGCTGTAAGTTCATAATTATGCTAAAAATATAATTACTGGAAAACACCAGAAAACATGAGAAAATACTTTTATTATTCTAAAAACCATGATTTTGAAAATAATCATGAGTTTAGGTGAACTCCATTTTGGATGTACCAAAAAGCAGATGACGGGAAATTTCTGTTTTAAAAAATGTTCAAAGGCATTTCCAACCTCAGCCATGCATGAGAATGTAGCTGGTATTGAAATAACACTTCTTCTGGAAAAAAAAAAAGAAGGAGAAGAAAAACTATAAATGGTGGATAAAGTATATAAATCAGCCCCTTGAAGTCACTGGCAAGGACCCAGTGCAGGCGGGACCATCTCAGCTCTGAGAGGGAGGCACATATGGTGCACGCCACCTTCACGCTGGGGCTTTGCTGAGGGCATCTTTCAAACTGTGATGAAGGGGATATTGCTGCACTGAAAGGGATGGTCTTATTGGACAGGGGGGAAATCTGGTCTGAGTCCAGAGCTGCCAAGACAACTTGGAGTTGAGCCTCGAAATCTCCAACAGGAAAGGAATTGAAAGTAGGATTCAAAGCCACATTCACATGCCTCTCAACTCATAGTAATGTCTCATGCTGACAGCAGTGAAACCAGCACAAATCGTGGCAGTTAGACAACTGGAGTTCAAATGCTCTTATATCACTAACTAATATTTCTTAATATATGTAGCTAGAGTTTTCCTGCCTGGCCCACAGTCAGGACAAATCTCTCTCACCTGCCAGTCCCACAGCCGCTCAGACCCAACCAAGTAAACACAGAGACTTATATTGCTTACAAACTGTATGGCCATGGCAGGCTTCTTGCTAACTGTTCTTATAGCTTAAATTAATCCATTTCTATAAATCTATACCTTGCCACATGGCTCGTGGCTTACCGGCATCTTCACATGATGCTTGTCAAGGCGGCAGCTGGCAGTGTCTCTCCCCGCCTTCCTGTTTTCTCAGTTCTCCTCTCTGTTAGTCCTGACTATACTTCCTGCCTGGCTACTGGCCAATCAGTGTTTTATTTAATGACCAATCAGAGCAACACATTTGACATACAGACCATCCCACAGCAAATATAAATATGAGTTCAATAAGATATTAAATAGAGTTCAACTGCTCTTTTATTAGTAACTAGTATTCCTTTTTTTCTTCTTGTTTTATTATTAAGAGATTTTCTATTCACTTTATATACCAGTCAAAGATCCCCCCTCTTCTTGCACCCCAGTCTTCCCCCACCCCACCTCCATTCCCACCTCCCCCAAGTCAAGGTCTCCCATGGGGAGTCAGCAGAGCCTGACACACTCAGCTGAGGCAGGTCCAAATCCCTTCCCCTGCACCAAGGCTGCACAAATTGTCACACCCTAGGCACCTGGCTCCAAGAAGCCCTCCCATACACCAGGAACGGATCCCTATCCCCCCTGCCTGGGAGCCCCCTAAACAGTTCAAGCTAAACAACTGTCTCGCCTATCCAGAGGGCCTAGTTCAGTCCTATGGGAGCTCCACAGCTATTAGTCCACAGTTTATGGGTTTCCACTTGTGTGGCTGGTTGTCTCTGCATGTTTTCCCATCATGATCTCGATGTCCCCTGCCTACAGGATCCTTCCTCTCTCTCATCGATTGGATTCCCAGAACTCAGCTCATAGACAACTTTCAAGAACCCATTCTCTCCTTCCTTCATGTGGAGTCCAAGGAGTAAACTCATCAGGCTTGGAAGCAAGTGCTTTTAACACTGAGTCATCTCACTGGGCCAGAAGAATCATTTTAAATGTGTAACTATATCATTTACTTTTCTTATCATTGTGGGCAAATATCTACCAAGAAGCAAATGAAGAGATGTGAATTTTGGATCGAAGCTTGGGTTATAGTCCATCATAGTGGGGAAAGCAGGAAGAAGGGTGTGGTCCTTGTCATGGTAGCCTCATACAACGCTGATCGCTCACATCTAGGTAAATGAGAAAGCAAAGAATGGGGAATGCCAGCACTTACCAAGTTTTCTTCTATTTCTTTTCTATTCAGTCTGAGCCATCAACACATGGGGAAGTGCCCAGTGTGTCCAGGGAAGTTTTCTATCTTCTATGAATTCTCTTTTGAATACTCTCCATTTGCATCCAGAAGTGTGTCCCCTAGAAGATCTTATTTCCAGTGGGGGTGACAGTGGAACTTTGCCATCACAGTAACTAAAGGGCTAGTGAGGGGGCTGTGGAATAAACAATACCGGATTAAAACAATCAAAGAGTGAATCAATAATGGACCCAGAACAGCTAGGACACAGAGAAAACAGATAGCATAGATTTAAATCCAACAATATTAACAGTTACATGAGATGTAAAGAAGCTAAAGACTTCAATCACAAGACTATCACGTTAAATTTTAAAAAGAGAAAAAAAAATACACCAATACCCAAGTATGCGGGTTGTTCCTTAAACAGAAGGACACAGAAAACTTTAAGGTAGAAAGAATAGAAAAACACATGCCAAGCAAATACCAAGAAAGCTAGTGTTTGCTTTATTTGTACCAAAGTAGACTTTTAAGGAAAGACAAATGATAAAAGGACCAAGTAAGCAGGAAGCAAGAGTGTTCCTTTCTCTTTACTACATAAAGGCGAGGGAGGCAAGTCCACAGTCATACTTAAAAATGTAGCCAGAGCAGGTAAAATAGTCATATAATGATAATAAACAGTAATCAAAAGCATCAGTAGGAATATAAAACACTTAAAAGAGAGACAACCACCCTCCCCAACTGGCAGAAAGACAATACAGGCAACAATCTCATAGAACAGTTTTGCCAAATGCATGTGGACATTTATCCTAACACACCAAAACAAATCTTTACCGATTCCAAAGATCTGAAGTCATGGTGTTTTCTGATTAGTAGAGAGTAGAGGCTGAAAGACGATTAGAAAATTGTTAAATGTTTGGAAATTAGGCAACATACTTCTGTATACTGGGTGAATATGAGAGCAAAATACAGCAGGAACCTTTACATCCAGGTTCTTAGCTTTCACGAAATGATCAGCTCTCAGTGGCCATTTCAGAAACAGCTTGTGGGAAACTATGAGGGAGTTTCTGCCAGGCTCCACATCTTTAATCTAAAATAGACATTTCCCCCAACTACACTCCTACAGTTATTTGTAAAGAACTATAAAATATCTGAGGTCTTTCTTCATTTGCTACCTGATAAGTTAGTATGCCATAATTTTAAGGATGCTAGAAAAAAAATCATGAAACTTCTCAGTAAAGCTCTTTATTTTTCAGCATCACTGGCATCGTTGAACTGATTCCTGTGTTTCCCAGTTCCACAGAGGGGACACAGAGCAACTCTAGAAGACACAGCTCACTATGGTGACTGCCTTCCCCATTTCCATAAGACTGGAGGTTTCTCTGGGTCTCCAGCACTTTCTGTGCTAGAATAATAAAATCTTAGGCAAACCAGAACACACTGCTCATCCCTCGCACACAGGGTTTGCATCACAGCTGAGACACCCTGAGCTCAAGGGTCACCAGACGTTTAAAGGAAAATTCTCTCAAACCTGCCTATGTTTGGGTCTGGAAAAAAAGATTTTATCTTTATTATGCTGGACAGCAAGCAAATCTCCTCGTTTTCTGTTACCCAGACCCAGCTTTTATCTTCTGAATCTGTTTACCATGTAAACACACTTGAAAAGATACTCCAGGATGAAGCTGTAAATGTGTCTGTGGGGAAGATGTGCAGAAACACCAGAAATCTGTGCGGAACTGTTTCCCACCAGCACTTCAGTAAAACTATAGTACAAAACCCAATACAGAAATAAAATTATAGTGCAAGTGTCATGGGGTCATCTGTGTACTAATCTGCATCCTGGCTTTGAAGCTGGTAATTCTACACTCTTCCAGACTTCACCAAGTTTCTCTAAATAAAAGACCAATATAAAATGGTTGTTCATTATTTTTTAATAGATGTGTATGTTAAAGACACATAATTCTTTGGAAAGAGATGGCCTGTCTCTCATAATGAGTTCCTATCTTATCTCACTAACAAGGATTTAATAATAAGAGTTTTTTTTTCTTGCTGTCTGGATCATCAAGAATATACTTACTAAACCGTTCTGCTGTAAAAAGGGAGTCAAGACCCTATGAAGAAGTCAAGAGAAAATTTAGAAATGGGAAGGGGGGGTCAACAAAAGTGCTGTATTCCTTTTGGTAGATGAAACATATGCTGGAAGATTAAACTGATTTGGACTTTATAAAAATGGAACAATCAGTTTTTCTGGATTTCATCAGCCTGCGGATTCTAGTGACTCATAGTAACTGTAATAACCCATGTCTCCCTGTTTTTCCCAAGCCTGTTCTGTTCTTCACTCCTCAACACTGGGCATGTACCACATATCACAAGATCTCTGGGTCTCTAAGCCTCCCACCACACTGGGGACCTGAGGCCTACAGTATACAAGTCTACATCATATTACGTCACAACATTAGATTTCTACCAATGCCCAGCAAAGTACTGCACATGGAATGCCTCATGCATTAGTTGTCTCTCACTTCTGGAGGTCAAGTTTGTAGGTCAAATGAGCTCTCTGCAGAGGATCTGCCAAGGCTAAAATCAAGGTACCACTAGGCTGAGCTTATATATGGAGCTCCTAGGAAAGAATCTACGTACTCAGATTGTTGCCAACTATGAACTGAGGTCCATATTTCCTTTCTGGCTGTCAGCCAGGGACCACTCTCAGCTCTTCAGGCCACCTGCAGTCTTTGGCACAGGCCTCTTCCTCTCCCATCCAAGAACAGTTCTCCAAATCCCCCTAAGCTTTGAATCTCTAATTTCCTCTTCTGCTCCCATCTACAAACAACCCCCACTTCCAAGGGGTTCATCTGATTGAGTTACGATTACTCAAATAATCGCTATATTTTATGGCCACTTAACCTGAAGCTTTAATTGCATCTGCAAAATCCCTTCAAAGAAGAGTCTAGGTTAGTTTTCAATAGTGAACTAAGGACCAAAATCTTGGAATGGGGCGGGGGTGGGGGAGTACATTTTTAGACTCTTCACCATAATCCTTATTGGGGTATAGTCTACCTCCCTTTTTTTCCCCACTGCAGTAAAGCATTGTTTGTATATTTACACTTGAGACTTTTTAGAAAATCAGGTCTTGGTGTGTGTGTGTGTGTGTGTGTGTGTGTGTGTACAGATTTTTTCCTTTCTGCAGGACGTAAGCCCATATCTAATGACACCCTGAATACAAAGCAATTGAAAGTGCAAATTTTGAGCCATTTTCAGTACCATATCCATGTAGATATAAAAAAGTTTTGACCCTGTGGAGTCAAACTGTTTAGAAATCTCTAGTTTCACAGGGAAGTAGTCTCCGGGGAAGTGGCAGGACCAGTACACAGACATGCTCAGGCGTGTCTGAATTCTAGTTTGTTATTGAACCTGCTCTCTTGCCCCATTTACACACTCTTGGTGTGGGAACTGCAGACCTGTGTCCATTTGAATACCCTATACGCTTAACTTCTGCTCTCCAAGAAAGTCTGCTTCCTGCTTGTGGCTAAATATGTGACCTGCAGTTTGAAACAAATGGGGATTAATGTGTCCCTGGTTTGTGTGTTTCCACAAAAGACAAGTCTCCATGTTTGTGCTTGGAAAGGATAACAACAAATTACTACTGAACCCAACACATTTTCCAAAAAAAAGACAAACTGAAAAATATTCAGTATTCAGTCTACAAAACGCTCTGCAGGTCCCAAGTCCAGTAAAGTATCAGGATTCATTTATTTATGTGTACATTGGACAGTAGCAGAATCAAAACAGGAAGAAAACATATATTGGCAAACATCTGAGAGACTGGTATTTTCCAAAAGGGATGAACAAATCAGGAAGAAGACTAGCCCTGGACACAGGTGGTTCCATGCTGTAGCTGGTGGTCTAAATGCCACAAAAGGAGAGAGCCCGCACTAACTAGGTCCCACATCCCCACCCCACCCCTCTCTTTCTCTCCCTCCTACTGCCTACTGGGAGATCATCTGCTTTGCTCCTCCATGCCTTCCCAACCATGATAGACTGAAACCACATACCAAAATAAATCTTTCCTTCTCTAAGTGATTTCTCTCAATCAATTGTCACAGTGATGGGAAATCTGGCTAACACGGTTATGAAGTTGGCTATGAACACTAGAGAGTCCAGTTGTGTTCTGAGATTAAACTGTGAAAAAGACCAAAATAAGTGTAAGGACAAAAGTTCAACTCCTCTAACCAATCTTTAATTTCTGAAATTTTGACTGGTCACAAATGTCATGTGAAATCATCCTTGTAAGTAACGCCAATAAAGAACTTAGCTCTAGTAACCAAGCAGAGAAAAACATATTGGGGTTTTCCTTCAGTCTTAAGATCCATGTGTTGTCCGCCTATTAAAAAGTTGTATCTTGGGGCTGGAGAGATGGGTCAGTGGTTAAGAACACTGGCTGCTCTTCCAGGTAGACCTGGATTCAATTCCCAGCATGCACATGGCAGCTCATGGCTATCTGTAACTCCGGTTGCAGGAGATCTGACACCCTCATATTGACATGTATGCAGGCAAAACACCAATGCATATAAAATAAAAATAAATAAGCCGGGCAGTGGTGGCTCACGCCTTTAATCCCAGCACTTGGGAGGCAGAGGCAGGCGGATCTTTGTGAGTTCGAGGCCAGCCTGGTCTACATAGCAAGATCCAGGAAAGGCCCAAAGCTACACAGAGAGCTGCACAGAGAAACCCTGTCTCGAAAAACCAATAAAAATAATAATAATAATAATAATAATAAATATTTTATAAAGATATATTTTGTTTTGACTTCTGGTTTGTTTTTAAAGTGGAAAACAGTGAAGTGATTTACTCCATGTATTACATTTTGGGATAGTTTTTCTATGTGCTGCCTATTTTATGTCAACTTAAAGCTGGAGTTATCTGAAATAAGAGAACCTCAATTGAGAAAATGCCTCCATAAGATCCAGCTCTAGGGTATTTTCTTAATTAGTGATTGATATTGGAGGGTCCAGTGCATGGGGTGGGGGTCATGCTATCCCTGTGCTGATGGTTCTGGTTCTATAAGAAAGCAGGCTGAGCAAGCCATGGAGAGCAAGCCAGTAAGCAGCACTCCTCTATGGCCTCTGCATTAGCTCCTGCCTCTAGGTTCCTACCTTGCTTGAGTTCCTGTCCTGACTTCCTTCAACGATGAACAGTGAT